CCAAGCACTTGTTTAGAGTATTCCTTGCTTTATATGTTTCTAGTTAAGTTACCAAGCACTTGTTTAGAGTATTCCTTGCTTTAAAGGCTGAGTTGTTTAAAAAAAAAGAAATTGTAAATGCTAAGTATAGAAAATTTTATCTCTGCAGATTGTCCCACGTCTAAATGCCCTCATGCTGAATGAAATTGAAAAAATTTTGGACAACAGACCAGTACGTCAACCTTTAATCAGGTAACTAAAGACACAGAAGGATTTTCTAACCAGTCAAAAATTCTATTCTTTCTCTTTTACTGGCTGCTATGAGGAAGACTTCCTTAGTAAGAAAAATGCCTCAAGGGGGTCGAGATGAGCAGTTCTGGCCAAACACAAGCTTAGTAGTTTAGCAATATTTGGGGGAGGGGGATTAAATGGTTTATTAATAAAAAATATATTTATTGATTACAGTTATCACTGAATATTATGTATTTATCACAAATTATTAGGTAATTTGAAATAACAAAGGGCCAAAAAGTTTGGAAAAAGTGTGCTCCATCTATCCCCACCTCTCGTCTCAGAACATACATGTGCACACTGCTCAGCTATGTCATTTATAGGTGTCAGTTACTCTTTTAATATTGTAATTAATCATCTAATTCATTTATGCCATGATATATTACATCAAACGTTATTTTATAAATAAGAAGGCAACATTTTTTTCCACCATCAATCCATAATTTCCTTCTTTCAAGATCATTTTCTAGAACTATTATAAGGAAAGATGAAATATCATTGTGTCATAAGCACATGCATGTACTGGTCTGGAAAAAAATTTGGCCACTCTGTTTAGTATGTATCTATGAATTTATGGACTCATTTAAGAGAAATAGACCAATATAATATATTCAGTGAAACAGACTGGTGAGCGAGAGAACAACGCAAACTTGCTATCCAAGTTGATGCGTTTTTAAATAACATCCTGTATTATGTCTTTAAATATTTTCTGTAGTGTGAACATTAATACTAGTACGTTAAAATTGTCTGTAACTGACTGGTATGGAGTCAAATAATTGTTTTCTGAACGTGTATATTGTTTCTTAGTTATTTAATTTAGAAAAATATTAAATTGCTCTCCAAGTTGATGCATTTTTAAATAACATCCTGTAATATGTCTTTAAATATTTTCTGTAGTGTGAACATTAATACTAGTGCGTTAAAATTGTCTGTAATTGACTGGTATGAAGTCAAATAATTGTTTTCTGAACTTGTATATTGTTTCTTAGTTATTTAATTTAGCAAAATATTAAATTTTTAAAATTTAATTCTTTGTCTTGTTATACAATAGGTTTTCAGGTTTACTAGTAACGACATTATTATAATTTTAGAAATAGTGTATGTAGTGCATTAATTTTATACTTATTTAATTTTTTTTTATTCTTGTATATTTCATTTTTTACGTTGTTTAAAATTCAAGCTAAGTTTTAAGTTAAGGTGAGTTTATGGATGTTTATCTTTTTGCCATCTTATTTGAAATGTTAAAAAATTCATTTTTTTCATTGCATCCTTGGTAATGGAACAGGACTAATTGGAGACCTTCACTCTCTGATGTGGATCACAATTCCAAGGAGTCTTGAGAAGAAATTTGAAGTTCAATGGTGATTTAGAGGTCTTTTAGTCGTAACCATCATGATTACTGAGACCTTCCAATCATAGAAATGTTTATTAGTAACCTTTTGTTCTGATTTTATAATTTGAAAATTTAAGGAGTCATGAAAGAAACTTTGAAAGTTGAAGATTAAAGATTGTTTTTAGATGATATCTGAAGGTATTAGAAGTATTCTAGTCTGTTTAAAGCAGAAATGTGAAGGTGACTTGATGTTTTAAAAAAGCCAATAGAAACCTCATGTATATTTTATTAAATTCTGTTAATAAAGATGAGTATTGTTGGAATGTAAAGGTGATTTAAGACATTTTTGTGGGCAGACAAAGCGTGAACAGTTGTTGTTGTTTTTTGTAAGAGGAAAAAAAAATGTATGAATGTAGGGAACTGCATTTAATTATTATTTAAAACAAATGGTCCGTTCAAGAATTTTCTCTTTAAATACTTTACTGAATTATAAATTTTCCTGAAGAAATTTATATTTCTTTACTCCAGTATGTATGTAATTTTGTCTAACTGCTACTTATTGGTGGTTTAAATGTTTGGTAAAAATAAAATATACCTTACTTCTACCTTGCATGTAAGAGAAATTAGCTATTATTATAAATATTAGGGATGGGACAAATAGTAGTTTTGGTCCAAGCTCAGATATCTGTCTCCTAATATCTGATTGAATTCAGATATTTTCGAATTATAGAGAAGATGTAGCCACGGACATTAAAAATACACCACAACAGTTAGTTACCACTTCATTATAGTATGCTATTAAATAGTTAATTATAGAGAAGATGTAGCCACGGATATTAAAAATACACCACAACAGTTAGTTACCACTTCATTATAGTATGCTATTAAATAGTTAATTATAGAGAAGATGTAGCCACGGACATTAAAAATACACCACAACAGTTAGTTACCACTTCATTATAGTATGCTATTAAATAGTTGATTAATTATTGTTTTTTTTTGAAAATATAATAAGGGTATACACGGAGATGGCGTACTAAGCTTTCTCTCTCACTCACGGGGGAACTGTACATCCCCACGAGTGAGAGAGAGCATTGTTGACCATTTAAGGGAATGTGTTAGTGTGAGACAGTGATCCAATGCTGAGACTGTTGTTTGTATTGTTGTTGCTGTTGCTGCCGCTACTGTGTGGCAACATGGTGGACGTGATGTTTATTTAAACTACACAATGACTGTCTGTATAACAATTACCAGAGAAAGTGCTACTCTATTTAGAAGCTAGCGGAAAACACTGATAGGTTAGATGATACGACATGTATCATGTGTGACACACGTGCAAGTAGTATCGTGCTTCTGTAATGTTGTGCAATAATCCATAAATGGAAATGCGACTTGATTCGTTGCAAAATTATTATCCAATCAGATCAGGTTTCATCGAATAGTGCAATATTTGATTGGACCAGATGTTTGTCTCATCTCTAGTAAATATTCACATTTTAAATATCTTAAAATATTTATACATTTACTACTTTATCTCATATTTTTCTCTTTGATTTTTAACAAATTTTTCAAAAGATGAAATGAAGTTTATTGCACAGATAATTCTCAAAATCGTTAATGCTACAATAGAATATACACTTGTGACATAGTAAATTTTTTAATATCTTGAGTATAAAATTTGTTTTCAAGTATTTTGAAGTTTATAATATTTCTGGTCTGTAACATTTGTTGTATATGTTCAGCACGTTTTACTTTTCTTGGTGTTTTAAAAAGTTGAACAGTAATTTTGTGATGTTGAAGTGGTAAAAAGAGAAAAAAAAACCTAAAATGTATTAGTACTTTTTTGTAGATTTTAGCTATTATTATAGGACACAAAAAATTAATATCATTTAAAATTCTTCTTCCATTGTCATTCATAACCTGTTCATTCTGAAATTCTTTGCAATTAATCTTATAAAAAAAAAAGTTACATCATTAAGTAGAGGCCAACTGAATACTTAGCCAGATAAACTATAAAAAGGTAAATATATTTAAAGCTCTTCTCTGCAACTTGTAAAAACAAAAAATCTTTCTGAAGTTCACAACATAGGTTTAGATTTAATCAAAAGAATATTAGATTCTTTATTTATCCACTGTTTTGTGATTATAAAAATATTGCTTCTCAGACTATACATTTAAGAGTTGTTGTTCATTTTTCTAGTGAATGAATATTTATAATCATTTTGTTTGAACCTCTAAAGCCTTATAAAATTGATGACAGTGTCATCGTAAGAATCTGATGTTGCCTTATGAGCTAATGTATTTAATTAATGCCACTTGTTGAAATGTTTATTTCATATATTGAAGAAGAGATGTTGTAATAAGTTTAGAAAAATGCTTGTACTTGTTTTTAAAGATGGTACTGACTGCGTGATTAGTTTTTCTGTCTGTTGCATGACAATAGTACGAAGCTCACTTATTTTATTCTTGATTATATATGTAGATCAAATAACATAATGTGCCATTTGCTTTAGCTGCTTCTCTCCATATAGTGAAAAAAAGGCCTAAAATAGTATCTCACTCTGCTAGTACCACACTGGAGTTTTATGTTTTGTCGTGATGATTATTCTTATTTTCACGAGGTAGTTGGTAAATTTTTGATTAATTTTCAGAGTAAAATGCTAATGTGTGGATTATAAGCCATTAATTTAGAGTTTTGTGTTTGTGGGTACCTGAATCAAAGTAACATAGTGTTTATTAGTGATTTATTATTGCACAAAATATTACTAATTAAAATTAATATTTCTTCAGTTTTTTTTTCTTTCGGTCTTGATGTTGCTTGTAAAAATTTTAAAGTAATTAAAATTGATGTACTATAAGTTATTCCTTTTACATTTAAATTATCAACTAGTTAAGTTAATCAAGATGTTGAAAACTGTTTACAACATTGTAAGGTGTCGTTACATTTTATTGTTTGATCATGTTACGGTATTCACTCGACCATTTTGTACACAACTCCAAATTTATCAACCGAAACTGCTAAACATTTCTACTTAGTAGGTTCTGGTAATAAAATTGTTACTTAGAAAAGGAGAAGAAAACGAGGAGAATCACTTACCAAATTAAAATTAATTTATTAATGATTTTGAAAGAAATGTTGTGGGTATGGTTCCTTTTACGATGTCTAAGTAACGTCAACAATTGTACCAAAGAATAAATGATATTTTGATCGCAAAACTATTTGTAAAAATTATATTAGGTTCAAATATCCGTATTAGGTTTAACAGTGCACTTGAATTTTCATGTGGTTTATATATTGTTCGAGAAAAAGATATGAAGACCAATATATTTAGATTTATCAGTTTGCACTTACTTTATTTCTATTGAGTTTATGTAAATTGACTGAATGCACAAACCTAGAAATTAATAGCTTTGGTCTGTGACAATCGGAGTTAAAATTAAGAAATCTAAAGTTACTGCAATCTTTCTTATTTTGGTGCGACAGCCCTAACTCGCATGGAACTGAAACCTAAGCTTACAAATGGTAACCAACCAGTGGTATTCTCAGGAAATGGTTTGTTTTTAAAAGTGTATAAAATCATGTGTATCACTGATTTATTAATACCCAACTGTCTTTTTTTCATGTGAGGAAGTCGCACATGTTCGTAAATAGCATAAAAACAGTAATTACTTTGTTTGTATATAGAAAAATATTTTGAGGATGGTGTATTAAATTTCAAATATATGTATTTTAGTTGTATTTATTTCTTTTGTTTAGAATTACTTGAAATGCTCATTACGGGCTACTGAATCAGTTATGTGCTGGTTCTTTTTATTTAAAGATTTTCTCAACTAGTTAAAATCTCTGACACTGGAAAATAAAAGAGAGAGAGATAAATGACAGCTCAGTAGTTTGTCTCTTCCTGATGGCCCCTAGTGGCACAGCGGTATGTCTGCGGACCTACAACGCTAGAAACCGGGTTTCGATACCCGTGGTGGGCAGAGCACACATAGCCCTTTGTATAGCTTTGTGCTTAACTACAAAGAAACAAACAAACTCTTCCTGACAGAGCTAGTTTTTGAGATGCCCTTTAGTTTGTGACTTGATTGGAACTCTATCACAAGATTAAGTGGAAAATTGTATGCTTTATTCATATGATGTTTTTTTTTGAGGGGGGTGAGTATTATCTATCTAAAGAATTTGTCACCTTATATATATCCGAAAATGTTGCATGTCTGCCTAGACTACCTGACTTCTGTATATTAAGAGTACAAATCCTTTTTCTCAGGATATTTATGGAAATTTCACTATAACGTTATATAATATAGCAGTTTACATGAGAATAATTTTGGTATATATAAACACTTTGTTGTTGCTACAGAATGCACAATCTTTTCTTCAGAGCATCATGACCTGAAAGTCTAACAGAAACTAATCTTAATTAGGGTTGTTTGAAATGTTTCATAGGCTTTTTTTCTCCCAATCGTTATCTTCACTTGAAGATGAAAGCAGCAAGTTGCTAGACACAGTTTTCAGTCTTATAAATCTCTTGCACTGATGTCCTTATTTTAAAAGAGTTTTTCTCAATATATATTTTTATATCATTGATTCATACTGTAAGAGTATTTTTAAGTTTAAGAACTTGAATTTCATGTTTCGATACATTTAACTCAAATTTGTTAACTGTTTTTGCTTCCATATACAAGTAAAATTTATTCTATTTGAACTTTTCTCTAAAATTGTTTCTTTATTATAGATATGAATAAATTGTTTAAACATGAATGTTTACTTTCATTCCTTGTCTATATCTTAGTTCTTAACAATATCTAGAAAGGAACAAGGGCAGATTTGTCTTGTGAAGAAACACCTACTCATCATTGAACAGATTTTTTCATACTAAAATTAAATAAAAGTTGGTTTTAATATTTTTATTTAAAGAAGGATGACATCATCTTTCTTCAAATAAATATATAAAAAAAAACTTGGCGATTGTTCAACCTATTATTTAATTTTGATATCTTTGTCATCTATGTGGTTTTAACTTTGTTTCGTGTTTTAAAAGATAATCATGATTTCCCAGCTTTTCCTTTTCTTTGTACTTGATCAAAATGTAATGTATTGCCAAATAAACTATAATAAACTCACAAACCAGAGACCTGGCTTTGGATCAAAGTGTCCAAGGTTTGAAATGTAGTGACACAGAACGTATTCAGCACTTTCCTGACTGTGGATCAAAGTGTCCAAGGTTAGAAATGTAGTGACACAGAACGTATTTGGCACTTTCCTGGCTGTGAATCAAAGTGTCCAAGATTTGAAATGTAGTGACACAGAACATATTCGGCACTTTCCTGGCTGTGAATCAAAGTGTCCAAGATTTGAAATGTT